CTACCGCTACCGCTACTGCTACAACTGCGACGATGAGGAGAAGGAGGAGGACGGCGTTTACCGTTACTACTAATTTTGCTCTCCTCGGGGCTCCAACTCCTAGGTCATCATCATCATCATCATCAGCATCAGCATCAGCATCAGCATCAGCATCAGCATCAGCATCATCATCATCGTGACAGCGAGGCTGGCGAGCTGCAGGCGGCGGTGGAGGCCCTGCGAGGCCGCATCTGGCCGATCATCCTCAGCACCCACCAGGCTGTGGTGCACGATGGCTGGGCCCCGCGCAGACGCTGGTGCCTCGAGCGGGGCCGGCCCTGCCGTGAACCGTGGGTATAGCTTTGGCGGCTCGTCGAGGATTACGGCAACAGCATGGTGCGGGTCTGCAAGGTGAAGGCGCACGCGGCGGAGCAGAGCGCATGAGGTGGCCTCACCTCGGCGAGGCAGCGCGCGGGCAGCGCATTGGCCGACGGCAGGGCCGAGGAGGTGGCCGCCTCCACTGCGCTCCGCAGGAGCGGCTCGACGCGGTGGACCCCTCGCCGAGGCCCTGGCCGAGGGCGCCTCGGACTGGCTGGGCGAGGCGAGGCAGGACGGCGACGCGCTGCTGCGTGCACCTGACGGCCCAGCGGCGCCCGGTCTCGAGGCGACCAGGTGGGTCAGGGCAGCACGCCGCCAGCGGCCGATGGCTCCCGGCGAAGTCGGCGGGCTCGGCCGCGCCTTCCGCGCCTGCGGCCGCCACGGCACGGCGCCGAGGCCAGGCGCGACGGCCCGCTGGAGCTGCCGGGCCTGCGCCTCCGCAGGCACTCCCGTGCGGAGGGGGCGCAGCAGCAGCAGCACAGAAGCTTGTCGGACGAGACGCGAGGGCAAGAGCGGCGAAAGGTGCGTCGGAGAGCGAGCGATCGAGACGGGCATGGCGAGCCTGGCACGGTGTGGCACGATTCGGGCTCTTACTCCTCCACCCTCCTCGCCAGAGTCCTCCGCCCTCTTCTCTACCGGTTGCCGCTCGATCCTCCCCCTTCTCCCTCGTCCCCCCTCCTCTCCTCCCTCCTCCCTCCTCCCTCACTCGCTCCTCCTTATCCTCCCCATCCTCCGCCTCCTAATATTTGCTCATACCCCACTCTTCTTCATCCTCGCCTCCTCCTCCTCCTCCTCCTCCTCCTCCTCCTCCTCCTCCTCCTCCTCATCTCCATCCTCATCATCATCATCATCATCATCATCATCATCATCATCATCATCATCATCATCATCATCATCATCATCATCATCATCATCATCATCATCATCATCATCATCATCATCATCATCATCATCATCATCATCATCGTCATCTCATCATCATCATCATCATCATCATCATCATCATCATCATCATCATCGTCATCGTCATCATCATCATCATCATCATCATCATCATCATCACCACCACCACCACCATCATCATCATCATCATCATCATCATCATCATCAACAACAACAACATCATGATCATCATCATCATCAGCAGCATCATCATCATCATCATCAACAGCATCATCATCATCATCAGCAGCAGCAGCATCATCGTCATCAGCAGAAGCCGCAACATCATCATCAGCACCAGCAGCATCATCATCATCATCATCATCAGCATCATCATCATCAGCAACAGCAGCATCATCATCATAATCAGCATCAGCATCATGATCAGCATCAGCCGCAACATCATCGTCATCAGCAGCATCATCATCATCGAATTCATCGTCATCACAATCATCATCAGCATCATCATAATCATAATCATCATAAGAACCAGCATCATCAGCATCATCAACATCATCAGCATCATCATCATCATCATCATCATCATCATCATCGTCATCCTGCTCATCCTGCTCCTCCTGCTCCTCCTGCGCCTTCTGCTCCTCCTCATCCTCCTTCTCCTCATCATCATCATCATCCTCCCACAGCCTACATGCCCCTCCTGTGTTTGCTTCCGCCATGTCTTCGCTCGACCGCCTCGTGACATAATTTCGCGCGGGTGCCGCCAAAAACCCTGCCTCCCCTGGCGGTCCTCCCAAGTCGCGTTGCCAGAGCGGTTCTCCTGCTGCAAAATAAACTTGTACTCGATGCCCTCACCACCGGGTGGCTCAGAAGAGACGCAAGAAAACGTTCTCGCATTGTGGCCCTCGGGGGTTATCCGGAACCCTCCGAAGACCTCAAAAGACCTCCAGAGGCCTCCAATGTTTTCTCGGTAATGATCACGCTGGAGGCTTTTCGATCTTCTCGGCGTCCTGAAGCCGATTCCTGGCCCTGGGACCGTCAAAGCACGACTCTGGATGAAAACCTGGTCACGGGGCGGCCTCCTGGAGAAGTCGAGAACTCCTGGAGTCGACGGCGCGTTGACGGTCATCTTCCCTGTCTTACTCCACCCACGTGGAATCAGATGCCCTGAACCTTAGTCGGATATGGTCTGCGCACGGCAAACCCCATAAGTACAGCAGCAACGTGGAACTGTAACAGAGACACAGCATGCAGCGAAACGAAGATGCAGATCTCCTCCAGCTCCTCCACCACCACCCCTCCGTATCCAGCTCCTCCTCATCCTCCCCTCCTCCTCCTCCTCTTCCTCCTCCTCTTCCTCCTCCTCCTCATCCTCCTTGTCGCACCCCAGATGTGTCCAAAAATTGCAATTCTTTCACGGAGGAAGGGCGTGCCGATTTCAAAAATGTGGCTCTCGCTGCAGCGCCGCGCACGTCCATCTTAAAAGGTTGCAGCACGTTCACAGATAGAGCGGTCCGTTTTCAAAATGTGGATATCGCCGTAGCGCCACACACATTCGGCTTAAAATGTCGCAAGAGTTTCACGATGTGGTTTTCAAACTGTGGCTCTTGTCTTAGCGTCGCGCAGACTCATTCTAAAATGTGCAACAGCTTCAGTGATGAAGGGCGGGCCAATCTTCCAAATGTGGATATCGCCCTAGCGCCGAATGAGGTTCTCGTCCTAGCGCCACACGCATTCGTCTTAACATGTGGAACTGTTTGAAGGATTCGCATGGTTGAAATCCCAAGAATTGAGTTCTGGCACGGTCTAGGATTCTCAGGACGCAACCGTCATGATAATTCACGGTGTTGAGATCCCAAGAATGTTGCTCGGGCGCGATTCAGGATTGCCAGGACGTCCCAGCAGTGGTGCTGTGACACGGCTTAGGGTTCGCAGACGGCTGTCTTCAAAGTGGGCGAGGCCCTATGAAGCAGAACTTGGTGCGAGGGTGCACTGTAACGTCGTTGATGCGTCTTGGATTTGCACTGGTCCTCCTCCTCCTCCTCCTCCTCCTCCTCCTCCTCCTCCTCCTCCTCCTCCTCCTCCTCCCCCTGCTCATCCTCATCATCCTCCCTTCTCTCCTCCTCCACCGTACTTCCACCCTGCCCCCTCACCCCCCCCTCCACCCCCTCTCCTTGCTTCTCGATCCTCTTGGCGCCGAGGAAGGGGAGAAGGACGAGAGCAGGAGGGGCAGAGGCGAAGGGGCAAGAGGGAAGGGCAGCGTAAGAAGGGGAGAGCGGGAGCAGGAGAAGCAGAAGGAGCAGCAGGGAAGCAGGAGGAGCACGAAGAGCAGCATACGGTCGGACCTAGGACACGATAACATCCTTCAAGAGCATGAGACCCTCCGCCGGCCCAAACACCCCAAATAATAAGAGCACTCGAGGGAACGCTCCCCCAGGATGCACAAGGACGTCCAACAAACACAAAGAACAGTAGGGTTCCCTCCCCGAACCGACCCCGATCGTATACCTCGGTCCGACCGTACCGTGGGAAGAGCTCTCATACAGCATCGACCAGCAAAAGAACAAGCTACGACACGCAGACAGAGCAGAACGAGACCTCGAAGAGACCTTGCACAAGATGTACAACCGACAGGTCACCAAGAGATGCGGTTTTGCGATCGACAGGAACAGAGGCGTCCACACCATCCACCGACCACATCGACGGAACACCATCGCATCGATGACTGACGGCACCCACGGACAACATCGACACAGGCTCCGAAATGTCGTCCCTTACAAAACTACTAGTAGATGCACTGCACACCTCAGGCACATCGACACGCCACCCACCATGGGCAACACTCACACTGACAGACGCCACAGACACAACACATCACCAGTCGCTCACAGGAGGAGGGGAGGAGGCGGAGGAGGAGGAGGAGGAGGAGGACGCACGAGGAGGGGGGTGGGGGAGGGGTGCGGTGCGCCGTCACGCCTTCCCCGGAGGGAACTCCAGCGGCATGGAGGACCACAGCGGGAAGGTGGCCGCATCCGTCTTCAGGGCGTACGCCTGCGCCAAAAAGCGGGAGTCTCGCGCCGAATGATGAGGGGCAGCGCAGCGCTGGCGCGGGCGCGGATTCGAGCAGGGGATCGAGTCCGTCGGGTCTGCGGAGACTGCGTAGAATGCTCTGCAGATCTGCGGAACTGTTGATTTTCGAAGATTCGACAAACAAGTAAATGCTTGGAGGCCTGGAAATGAACACCAACACCAACACAGGGGGTTGTCTCCACAGGGGAAAGATGATCCTGGATTTCGGTGTCTGTGGAAATACTTCGGCCACCCTGGAAACCAGAATAGTACCACCATCACCGAGATCGGGATCGTCTTCTCTCGGTGGAGGCACGCCGCCGATATTGGTGTTGGTGCTCTAACCTCGAGGCCTGGTCGAAGATTCGAGAAACAAGTCAACGCTGGGTAAATCAAGTCTGATGTCCATCCCCTACTCAAAACAAGAGGGGCAACGCAGCGCGAGCGCGGGCGCGGGCGCGAGCGGCAGGCAGGGGGCCCGAGGAGGAGGAGGAGGAGGAGGAGGAAGTGGAGAGGGAGGAGGAGCTGGAGGAGGAGGAGGAGGAGGAGGAGGAGGAGGAGGAGGATCAGGATCAGGAGGAGGAGGAGGAGGAGGAAGAGGAGCGAGCGCGGAACACCGAGCGCGGATGAGGAGGGAGGGAGGGAGGAAGGGAGGGAGGGAGGGAGGGAGGAGGCTGGAGGAGGGAGGAGGAGGGAGGAGGCAGGAGGAGGAGGAGGAGGATCGGCTACACGCTAGGCAAGAGTGACCCTCGGTGCGCGGCTTTGCCGCCCGCTGCGTGCGATGCGACCGCAGCGGCCCGCGTGCTCGGGCCTGGCCCAAGCGCGCTCTGCAGACCCCTCCTGGTGGTCCCCAAAACGTGGTGGTGACAACGCCTAGCGGTGAGACTCGGGCGATCTGGTGTCAACACCCGGTTCGGGGACCCGTGTGGTTCTTCGAGGATGTCCCGAACGCAGGTGGGTCCAGGAGTCACAACACCCGGCGGTGACCCCGTGTCCCAAAGCCCGGCAGTGACTTTGGGGGGAATTCCAGGGCACCACCTGATATCTCACCACCTGGTTTGGGGGCTCCCAACCCTCCCAGGGTCCATCTGGTGCAGCTTTCCAACCCGGATACTTGTTTCAGTCCCAGGGCACCGAAAAGAGGTCTCCAGAGGCCGAAAATAATCAAAAACCTTCCCGAACCCAAAACCTGGAAACTGCCCGCCCTTCCTGCTGGCCAGAACCAATGCTAGGCCACCTCAGAATCCCAGCCGGCTCCAGAAAGCGCTTTGGGGGAAACGCAGAGGTACAGATAATTACCGCTGCCCAACGGTCCTCCTGGGGCGTGTTCTGACCAGAATTTTGAGACGAATCCAGCGGTGACGGCGAGGCCCTCCCAGGAGGCCCAAAAACTGGAAACCGAGGGTAGCAGTGTGGGTACCTTTTCCTCCTCTGAGCATTTCGGGGATCTACTGCCCCAGGTCAATCCAGACCCGGGTCAGCCGGGCCTGCAGGATCCTGCAAGATCCTGCAGGATCCTGCAGGATCCTGCGGGATCCTGCACGCAAGCTTGGGTCAGTGCAGCCCTGGCTCTGCAGGATCATGCAAGATCCGGCGCTCCGAGTGACCCCCGTTTGCATTGACCCCCGTCTCGAGCCCCGAGCTTCGCCTGCGCTCCGCACCAGGCAGGCCAAGCTTCAGAGGCGACGATAGGGGCGCATAGCCCAGGGGCGGGCACCACGCGCATTCGCTCGGGAGCCTCTCCGAAGACGTCGATCCTCGGCGCACCTGGATGCATGTATTTGAAGGGGTCCTGGCACACACCAATAAATACACACACAAATTAACGGATTCACCATATTTTCCCACATTTTCTGGGTGTTCGCCCTCCCCCCCCACTTCCTATACTTTCCCATACTTTCTGGGGAATCGACGATGAATTGTGTCTGTGCTATTTTTCCCCTCCTGAGTATTGCTCCCCCCTGGGCTCTTCGCCCCGATCATCGCCTCTGAGCCGAGCCCGACGCCTCCAGCCCCTGGGGGCCGGCTCCCGGGCCCCGCCGGCGCTCCGCGCCGGTCGGGCCGAGCAGCCAGCGCAAAGACATCCGGCTGCTCTTCACTACAGGAGGAGGGGGGGAGGAGCAGGAGCAAAAGGAGGAGGAGGAGGAGGAGGAGCAGGAGGAGGAGGAGGAGCAGGAGGAGGAGGAGGAAGAGGAGCAAGAGCAAAAGGAGGAGGAGGAGGAGGAGGAGGAAGAGGAAGAGGACAAGGAGGAGAAGGATAGGATTGGATTGGATTGGATTGGATTGGATAGGATAGGATAGGATAGGATAGGATAGGATAGGATAGGATAGGATAGGATAGGATAGGATAGGATAGGATAGGATAGGATAGGGCAGAACAGGATAGGATAGGATTGGATAGGATACGATAGGATAGGATAGGATACGATGTAATAAAAAAGGATAGGATAGGATAGGATAGGATAGGATAGGATAGGATAGGATAGGATAGGATAGGATAGGATAGGATTGGATTGGATAGGATAGGATAGGATAGGATAGGATAGGATAGGATAGGATATGATAGGATAGGATAGGATAGGATAGGATAGGATAGGATACGATAGGATAGGATCGGATAGGATAGGCCTTGAGCGTATGGGGTGCGGCATGAAGCTGAATATTCTGCTGTGGAACGAAGGAGGAGAAAGAGGTTGAGGACCGTTTGGGGCCGCCGAATATGGGTGTGTGTCCTCTCTGTGCCCGACCCCAGACGAGAGGAAGAGCGCATAAGCCACGCAATCCAGGGCCCCACGAGATCACACCATGCCAGATCCTCTACACACCGGCTTCCGGCCAGGCTGGGCTGGGAGGGCACTCGGCAAGACGTGGCTCGAGGATGCTCTTCGGCGTGGCGTGTAACCTTTCCTTCTCCCGGTCTCCCCCGAGGAGAGCAGACAGCTGCACACGCAGAAGCTGCAGAGGTCCGCGCGGATTCTTCTGATGTTGGCGCTGCCCCCAGCGAGCGCATGCAATGTGCCAGCGGCTTTCTCACTTGGCTCGAGGAGATGCTGCGCCCTGATTCTTCTGATGTTGGCGCTGCCCCCCAGCCCCTGCCCCAGCCTCCTCCTCCTCCTCCTCCTCCTCCTCCTCCTCCTCCTCCTCCTCCTCCTCCCTCCTCCTCCCTCCTCCTCCTCCTCCTCCCTCCTCCTCCTCCTCCTCCTCCTCCTCCTCTCCTCATCCTCCTCCTCCTCCTCCCCCTCTCCTCCTCCCCTCCTCCTCCTCCTCTCCTCCCCTCCTCCTCCTCCTCCTCCACCTCCTCCTCCTCCTCCTCCTCCTGCTCCCTCCTCCTCCTCTCCTCCTCCTCCTCCTCCTCCTCCTCCTCCTCCTCCTGCTCCTCCTCCTCCTCCTCCTCTCCTCCTCCTCCTCCTCCTCCTCCTCCTCCTCCTCCTCCTCCTCCTCCTCCTCCTCCTCCTCCTCCTCCTCCTCCTCCTCCTCCTCCTCCCTCCTCCTCTCTCCTCCTCCTCCTCCCCTCCTCCTCCTCCTCCTCCTCCTCCTCCTCCTCTTCCTCCTCCTCCTCCTCCTCCTCCTCCTCCTCCTCCTCCTCCTCCCTCCTCCTCCTCCTCCTCCTCCGCCTCCGACTCCGACTCCGACTCCGACTCCGACTCCGACTCCGACTCCGACTCCGACTCCGACTCCGACTCCGACTCCGACTCCAACTCCGACTCCTCCGACTCCCGCCGGGAGCTCCTCTTGGCGCCCTGCCCCCCTGCGGCGCGGCGCCTCGGGGCCCTGGAGGTGCCGCCACAAGCGGTCCAGCGCCAACACAGGAAATCCGCGCAGACCTCCAGAAATTTACGCGAGGTTCTGTGGTGTCTTTTCTGCTTCGATGGATGCCCTGGGACTGTGTGTATGTTGACCTCTCCCGGGCTCCCTCCCTCTCCCTCATCCTTCCCTGCCCCTCTCCTCCCTCCATCCATCCCTCCCCCTTCTCCCCCCCTCACCCTCCTCCCCCTCCTCCCCCTCCTCCCCCTCCCCTCCGCCTCCTCCCCCCATCCTCGAAACCTCGGAGATGTGGAGGAGGAAGAGGACGACGACCAGGAGGAGAAGGCGGGCGGGGCGGAAACCCTGGAGGATCAGGGAGGAACAGGGAGAGACGCATGAAGGGTGTGGGCTTTCCCTCTACCGAGCTATATCCCCCTGGAGGCCGCCCACATGGGGCCGGAGCGTCGGGCCACAGCGGCGATGCACCAGCGATGCACCGGCGGTGCACGGGCGACGTCAAGACGGAGAAGATCGGGGCCCAGATGGCGCCGCATCGGCGTTGCAACGTGCACCCCTGAGATCCGATCGGACCCCGCCCGGGCTGCCTGAACACCATGAGGGGGCCAAGGGACACAAGCAAACAGACACAAATCCTAGGATGCCATATCTCCCCATGTTTTCTGGGCTCTCGTCTTCCCCTCTCCACTTCCACTGTGCTCCCTCCTCTTCCAGGGAATATACGTTCCTTTGTGTCTGTGTCCATTCGTCCCCCCCGACCCCCCCCCCCCCGACGGTGTGGGCCCGCTCCTCTCGGGGATCTGCTGACCCGGGTCAATCTAGACCAGGATCAGTCGGGCCTTGCAAGATCCTGCAGGATCCTGAACCCAAACCCGGGTCAATGCGACCCTGGCCCTGCAGGATCCCTGCAGGCACCCAAGCCCGGGCCAGTGCGCCCCCGGCCCTGCAGGAACCTGCGAGATCCAGCGCCCTGGCTGACCCCCATTCGCATGGACCCCCGTCTCTTGAGCCCCGAGGTCAGAGGCCTCCTAGATGGGGTCGGAGTAGATGGGGTCGGAGAATCACGCCGCATCGCCGATGCATCGGCGAAGCATCGGCCATGCATCGGCGATGCATCGAGGATGCACCGGCGACGCATCGTCGACGCCGACGACGCATCGGTGACGTCGGCGTGAAGCAAATCGGGCTCCGCATCGAGCCGCATCGGCGATGCATCGGCGATGCGGCGCGATGCTCCGACCCCATCTACTGCGACCCCATCTAGGAGGCCTAGAGAGGTGGGGGGCCCGTCCCCCCCCGAGGAGGAGGAGAGGAGGAGAGAGGAGAGGAGGAGAGGAGAGGAGAGAGGAGGAGGAGGAGGAGGAGGAGGAGAGGAGGCGGGAGGCGGAGGAGGAGGAGGAGGGAGGAGGAGGAGAAGGGAGGAGAGGGAGGAGGAGGAGAGGAGGAGGGGAGGAGGGAGGAGAGAGGAGGAGGAGGAGGAGGAGGGAGGAGGAGGAGGAGAGGAAGGAGGAGGGGGAGGAGGGAGGAGGAGAGGTAGGAGGAGGAGGAGGAGGAGGAGGAGGAGGAGGAGGAGGAGGAGGAGGAGGAGGAGGGGGAGGAGCAGGAGCAAAAGGAGGAGGAGGAGGAGGAGGAGGAGAAGGAGGAGGGGGAGGAGGAGGAGGAGGGGGAGGAGCAGGAGCAGGAGGAGGAGGAGGAGGAGGAGGAGGAGAGGGGCCCGAGGTGGGGGCCCGCCCCCCCCCTCCCTGGCCTCGGACGGGCTCCACAGGCCCAGGCTCGGGTGGGACCCGACGATGAAGACGGCCTCCCGGCCGGTGGCGGCCTTCGTCGTGCTCGTCGTCGGTCCGGTGCCGCCTCCTGGGCTCGCCGAGCCTCCCCAGAGTTAGGTCGGGCCTGTCCCCCTACAGGCGGATTTTGGAGGTAAGAAAATGTCTTTTTTAAAAACCAAAAATGATCACACTGTTGTATATTTACACCACAAAAAAACAAACATACCCAAAAAAACGTCCCCTGGCTATTTCTTCTATATTGTACTATTCTTGAAGATTCCCCTGTAGAGGGGGAGACAGGCCCGACTTCACCCTATGGGGAACGAACCACGAGGGGGCAACGATCCCAGACCCCCATCGCGTCATGAAGAACACCATAGGGGAACGGACAGTGACATCAACAGAAAAATGCAGAGGTCCGCGGGAAGTTCTCGGATCCGCGCAGGGGCCCCCTGGCGGCGCCTCCGGCGCCGCCCCTGGCGCGCCAGGGAGGGGGGTGCAGCGCGGATCCAAGAAATCCGCGCGGACCTCCGAGCTTTTATGTGTATGTCATTTTCGCTCCCCTACCCCCGTGCCTCAACCTTTCCTCTCCTCCCCCTGCCTCTCGCCAGGAATGACGTGCTGGTCTGGTCGTTCCACGCCACCTCCTCCTTCGATTCGCCAGAAAGGACCCCCGACCCTCTGGGAGGGGACCCAAGCTCGGAGGGCCAAAGACAATCCGGACTCCCAGGCGCTCTCAGGCGCTCCCAGGCGTTCTCAGGCGCTCTTCGAATTTCGGGTTGGGGGGGGTACGGGCTCCATGAGCTTTCTGAATGCTCCCCCCCCCACACTGGAAATGGAGGGCAAACTGAGGCCTTCGGGCTGGGTTGGGGTGGTTTGGTGGCTGGCGAGGGTGCGCCCAGCGTCTCGCGCCACTGTGTGGGCCCTGGGGTCCCCTGGGCCTCGTGAGGGCTGCGCTGGAGGCCATCGGCGCCTCCCCGGGAAGGCTGGGGTCACAGTGGGCCAGGCAGGCGGTGGATATCGACATGCTTCGGGGATGGACAGACCTCCCTTTAGCAAAACGTGGTTCAGTGAAAACGACCTGAGGCCCAAACCTGGCGGGCGCAAGCCTGGAAAATTACGGCCGCGGCGCCCTCTCGAGAACCGAAAACGGACGATTCACTAATCGACGTGTCACTGTTGGGGGTTCTGTCCGCCCCCAAATGCTCGGTCCAACCCAGGGCCCCATGACGTATAACCGCCCGCCAAAGTCCCCGATGATCGGCTCCCAGGCGGTGGTTATGCGTCGGAGGTTGGGGGCTGAGATCGAAGTGGAACGGAGAGCCCCCCACCGGGAAATCGGTTTCGGTTTCGTGTTCGTGCGTGCCGTGCGTGCGTGCGAGGCGAAGCTGCGTGGGCGGGCGAGAGGAAAGTCTCCTGTGGCTGAGGCGCGGCCGCACCAAATGATTCTCCCTCCGGCTAGCGGTGGCCCGCCCGGCCGAACCAAATGATTCTCCCTCCGGCAAGCGGTGGCCCGCGGTGTCCCGCCAGTGTCCCGCCGGTGTACCGCCGGTGTCCCTGTGTCCCGCTGGTGCGAAAACGATAGTGAGACCGATGACGAAAATCGATTGTGAGATCGATTGTGAGATCGATAGTGAGACCGATAGTGAGATCGATCGTGAGATCGATAGTGAGATCGATAGTGAGATAAATAGTGATATCGATTGTGAGATCGAGTGATATCGATAGGGAGACCGATAGTGGGATCGATAGCGAGATCCAAAGTGAGATCGATGGTGGGATCGATGGTGCCAAGAGCGAGCGGCAACGCATAAATCACCACTGTTGCCCATTGCTGGCCCCCCTCCCCCCCCAACCTCCTCATCACCCGCAGGGTGGTCGTACAAGTAAATCCACGCCGAGAGATTATCGACTTCGACCTCGGGGTCCCGTCATCTGGCCCCAAGACCATCGAAAGTGGATCCGGACGAAAAGCTACCCCCAAGGAAGGTTTCGGGACTTCTGGGGCCGTGTACTGGAGCAACCAAAAAAAACATTACCAGCTGTCCTTAGGAGATGGAGGAAAGGAGAAGGAGGGAATCTATATATATATATATATATATATATACGATGAGAACGAGGGGGAGGACAGGGCATGAGAGGAAGGAGCAGGATAGGGAGGCAGGAGGAGTCGAGTTGAGTGGAGCTCATGGGCGATACCTGGGCAACTGGCAGGCGGAATGAGGAGCAATAGGCTGGCATGAAGCAAGCGGGTCCTGGAGGCGGAGGCTTCTCACCGATTTCGCCAGGGCCGGGGGGGGGGCAGAGGTGGCCCTGACCCGAGGTGTCCCCAAGGCTTCCCTGCAGGGCCAGGGGGCCTCCAGGTGGCCTCCACAGCACCCCTCACGAGGCCCAGAGGGCCCTGGTGCCTCGGAAGTGCCGCGAGAAGCTGGAGACACTCGAGGCCTGGCAGCACACGATCGAGCTCACAGGCCCTCCCACGGGCCCCGGGACTGTGACAAACTCCTCGGGGCAAAGAGCTGGTCCTGGCGAAGGCTCTGGGTCTAGGACCCGTCTCCATCGGAACAATGGCGCGAGGTGTTTGCTACTACTCTCGGCACACAGTGCCTCGCTCCTCCTCCTCCTCCTCCTCCTCCTCCTCATCATCATCATCATCATCATCACCACCATCATCATCATCATCATCATCAGCAGCAGCAGCATCATCATCATCATCATCAGCAGCAGCAGCAGCAGCATCAGCATCATCATCATCATCATCATCATCATCATCATCATCAGCAGCAGCAGCAGCATCAGCATCATCATCATCATTGTCATCATCATCATCAGCAGCAGCACCACCACCACCATCATCATCATCAGCAGCAGCAGCACCACCACCACCACCATCATCATCATCATCATCATCATCATCACCATCACCATCACCATCATCATCATCATCATCATCATCATCATCATCATCATCATCATCATCATCATCATCATCATCATCATCGTCATCATCATCAGCAGCAGCAGCGGCAGCACCACCACCACCATCATCATCATCAGCAGCAGCAGCACCACCACCACCTCCATCATCATCACCATCAACCATCACCATCACCATCATCATCATCATCATCATCATCATCATCATCATCATCATCATCATCATCAAAAATGTCAATGATGATGATCGTCACCACTATCGTTACTGACACCATTATCGTCACCATTCGCATCCTCTGCATCGTCACTTCCACCATATTCATCATCGACGTCGTCCTCAACATCGGCATCAACATCGCAATCAGCACCATAGACCGCATCATCATCAACCATATCAGTAGCATCACCATCATAACAATCATCAGCAGCACCACCACCACCACCACCATCATCATCATCATCAGCAGCAGCAACGGCATCATCACCATCAGCAGCAGCATCATAATCAGCATCATCATCACCATCATCATCATCAGCATCATCATCATCATCGTCATCACCATCCTCATCATCAGCATCCACATCAACAGCACCATCAACATCAACATCAACATCAGCATCGTCATCATCAGCAGCGGCATCAGCATCATCATCCTCTTGACATGCTTAGCAGACTTGCTGGTTCATCCGATCACCTCCGTTTCGCCGTTTCGCCAACGCACCCCTGACGTACATGGATTCTGTCTGTCTGTCTTTCTGTCTGTCTGCCTGTCGGTCTGTCTCTCTCTCTCTCTGGCATCCGGTGGCCCTTTCCGGGGCCCAGGACCGTCAAGCAAACGACTCGGGATGAGGGGAGGAGGAGGAGGAGGGGGAGGAGGAGGGGAGGAGGAGGGGGAGGAGGAGGGGAGGAGGAGGGAGGAGGAGGAGGAGGAGGAGGAGGAGGAGGAGGAGGAGGAGGAGGAGGAGGAGAGGAGGAGGAGGGAGGGGGAGGGGGGGAGAGGAGGGGGAGGGGGAGGCCGGGGAGAGGGCCGAGAGCTCTGGGGGCCGGCGACTCGAGAGCATCGGGGCACCGGAGGTCAGGGGCAGTGGGGCCAGCGATGCAAAGACGATCCGTGAATCAGAATCGAACTCCGGTGGGATTCGTCGCGCGACCTTCACTGCTTGCAAAGGTCCAGGCCAAGTGTGAAGTCGGTAGCGCCCGTCGTTGCACTGGTAGGGAGCCCTCAAAAAACGTACGAGCCCAACTATATACATGAGCACGGCCCCTCGATCCGCGAGACTGGCCACGTGATACGAACATTGGCGCAATGCGTACTCTCAAAACCAGCGTGGATTCATGCACGTGTACATCCTTCTTTCGCTCCAGAACTGGAAAGGAAGAGCGCGGGGATTCTCGTTATTCGGCTGCGCGCAAGAGTGACCCTGGGTAAGAGTGACCTTTAGTGCGCGGCTTTTGGGGGGCCGCGGGAGGGACCAAACACAAGCGCGCAAGACGCTACCACCCCATCGCTCTCGGCGATCGGGGGACTCCATTTGGCCCGCACCAAAGGTCACTCCGGCGAAAGGTCACTCTTACGCCTAGTCGAATTATTGGCTGAAGCACCCCCCGTCTGGCAAGGAATCCGATGCGGGTCTGACGCAGCAGGGGGAGCAAATGCCTCGCGCTTGCCCTGCGCTGCCGTTGACGGGGCCTCCTCCCGACCACAGCCGCGCCCCTCGCTGGCGGGCCGGCCTGGCCCACCCCTGGGGGGCTGGGACGGGCAGCACAGCAGCGGGCTGAAGACGAAACGCGGGGGCAGCCAAGGGAGGATCAGGTCGGACGACACTGGTGACTACCTACCAGACCACCCCAACCCAACCCGAAGACCCGAATTTGACCCGAATTTCGGGTTTGGGGGGGGGGCACGGGTTCCATGTGTTTTTTCAATGTTCCCCGACCCCCCACTGGAAATCGAGGGTAAATTTGGGCCTTCGGGTTGGGTTGGGGTGGTTTGGTGGGTGGCGAACTGGGGATACCAAAAGGTACCGACACCGCTGCTCCCCGGACCTCTCCCGGGGCGCGCTCGGACTGGGACTGCAAGGCGAATCTGGCGGCGGCGGCGAGGGCCTCCCAGGAGGTTCAAAAAGGCGAGGACGAGGGAGGAAGGAGGATTGAGGAGGGAGGAGGACTGATGGGCTTGTCTTCCACCACCACCAGAAGTTGGAGGGGGAGGGGGTCCTCCTCCTCTTCCACCTCCTCCTCCTCCTCCTCTCCTCTCCTCTCCTCCTCCTCCTCCCCTCCTCCTCCTCCTCCTCATCCTCATCCTCCTCCTCCTCCTCCTCCTCCTCCTCCTCCTCCTCCTCCTCCTCCTTCCCCCCTCCAACTTATGGTGGTGGTGGAGGACAGGCCCATAAGGACGGAGCAGCAGCAGCAGCAGCAGCAGCAGCAGCAGGCGGCAGGAGCACGGCGGCAGGAGCCCGGCGGCAGCCAAGTGGGCCCCGCGGGCGGGGGCCCGCGGTCGGCAGACGGGGCCTCGCCCGGCCGCGTCCTGCGGCACTCCACGGCGAAGACCACGCGGGCGGCCATGTGTCCCGCACCTCGGGGTACTGCGGGGGGGCGAAGGTCTGCGAATTACGGGAAGCCCATAGTTGAGGGATGAAAAAACGGCCCTGCCCTGGGTTACAAGTGCGTGGTCTGTAAACCTCCTGGGAGCCCCCGGAGCCTAGAGCCGCCAGGACGCGGCACATCACGCAGGGTTTACCCCGTCAGCCCACAGGAGTTTCAGCGCACAGCGCCTCGTAAACCAGGGTAGGGGCGTTTGTTATGCCCTTGACATAGGTCGCCAGGAACCCCTAGGGAATCTGGCAACCTATGGGTTTCCCCTTTGTTCATAACTAGAGGAAACCCCTACATGGACGACTGGTACTGCGGGGGGGGGGGGACGGGAAGCGGGGCCGGGCGCGGGAGAGGAGCGGGGGGGAGCACGAGAAGAGGTGGGGGAGGAGGAAAAGAGGAGGGGAGGAGGAGGAGGAGGAGGGAGGAGGAGGGGAGGAGGAGGAGCAGGAGGAGGAGGAGAGTGGAGGAGGAGGAGGAGGAGGAGAGGACGAAGAGGAGGAGGAGGAGGAGGAGGAGGAGGAGGAGGAGGAGGAGGGCACGAGGAGGAAGTAGAGGAATGGAATGGACTGGAACGGAGTTCCTGGAGACCTGAGCTTCAAAAAAGTTGCGCCGTGCCTGGAGACCTGTGTTTCCTTAAAGCTCTGCGCCGTGCCACTGCCAACTGTTGGCACACCACTGCCTGCCAAAAGACCTCTGAACCGAGGCCCGCGGGACCTCCCCCACTGCGAAACGTGGAACGCAGCCGCACTCCGTGCACAGCGATTGGCACCGGCCACGGGCCAGAGACAACCCCGCCGGCGTGCACGCAGCCCGCTCTCTTGGGGAAGGAGGCGGCAAAAAGGCAAGGGCAGAGGCGCTCGGGGGGCGGGCTCCCAGGCGCCGTACCGAACACGTTGAAGGGGCCCAAGGACACACGAATACACACAAATAACAGGATTCCCCACATGTTCCCATGTTTTCTGGGTTTTTGTCTCCCCCCACTTCCCATATTCTCCCATAGCTTCCCATATTTTCCCACATTTTCCTGCAAGTCGGCGATTGTGTCTGTGTGTTTTTTCCCCTCCTGGCAATTGAGGTAACACCGCAGGGTCATGTTCATGCTACGGTCAGACCTAAGACAGAAGAACAACCTTCAAAAACATGAGACCCTCTGCCGGCCAAACTGAAGAGCATTCGAAGGCACCCTCCCCCCAGGATGCACGAGAACATCCAACAGCCACGAAGAACATCAGTGTACCCTCCCCGAGCCGAAATCGATCTTGTACCTCGGTCCGACCGCACCCAACACTTCAGGTGCCACCGAGGGGTAAATGTGCATGTCAGGGGTCCCGGTTTCTGCTGCCACAGACCCGCGCCAGCGGGTCCGCGCGACTGAGGCGCCACTGCCCAGAGCCGCGCCTGCAGGGGGAAGAGCCCTCTGCGAAAGATCGGTACTCGAACGAGTTCGATGACAGCACGGCGCACCACGGCCACCGTGGGGGCACGCAGTGTCTGGAGGCCCTCCTGCGCCCCCCCGCATCTGCCCCCCCCCCCTTCCCGAGCTGACAACGGCGGAGGTATAATCCACCCCAAGACGGGACGGGGCTCGGGATTCACAAGAGTATCGCAAGAATGTGCGTATTGGGTCCGTTCTATATTTCACCGTCGACCCCCTATGCGCTTCAAACTCTCCGATCTCAGTGCTGCTCGCTTTCCGTGAAATATACGCATCCTAGATTGGTAATTGTCTGCGGATATATGTCGCGAAGCATTGGCGGTGGAGGGATGTACAAAATCTGCCTCCAGCGCCGCGACCCTTCGACGCCATCCTCGGCTGACTCGTGACGTGACGACGTGGGCGCTGCTTCTGCCACCGCGTGGAGCGTTCACCCCTCGAACGACCCCGGCTTTCCGAAAGCGGCCTTTCGACCCCACCCCCTGGACTGGTTCGTGACGTGACGGCGAGGGCGCTGCCTTCTGCCACCGCGGCGGAGCGGCCAGGCCCGCGTGGGCGGCCTGGGCAGAAGGCCGCCACCCTCCCTCTGCCAGTTGCCAGGGGCGGCCCGGACGGAGGCCAAAAAAATCCAGCCCCCATAAGAACCACACTTCGCCCTGGCCCTCGTCCAGCCCCTCGGCCTCCTCCCCCACGGGCGCTGCCCGCCGCTTCTGGGCCCCCCTCCAGCCGCCCTGGCCGCTGCGGCGGGGGAAGGCGGCGGCGGCCTCGCCCCACGCGGCAGCAATGTCGGCCAGGGCGTCGTCGCCGCTGTCCTCGTCGAGCCCGACACGCGAAGTCGTTTAGCAAACGCGCCCGAAGAAGGGATCGAGCAGGGCAAGGCCTGGTTGGTAAACGCCCAGGGCCGTCTGGTAAACGCCAAGTGTCTGGTCCGAGTGGTTTTTCCTCGCATGATCGTCATCCGCAGGGGCAAACTACGCATGCTGCCCAGGGGGGGGAGGAGCGGCGGGGGGGGGGGCGGGTGACGGCGGGGGCGCGGGGACAGCGGGAGGTCACCACAAGGATTGCCTAACCCTTGCAGCACCACGTGCGCACACCAGCAGCCTGCCAGCACCGCGAGCGCTCGTGAGGCCCACGATCTGACTGCGAGCACCAACGCACGTAGAGGGTATGGGAACCTGGGGCCACGTCACGCAAGGCCGTCCACGGCGACAGCATAACCGAAAACCGGCAGCGAGACCAAAATCGGCCAAGACCGGCTCGACCGAAGGCCGCCGGGAACGACGCACCGACGCAGCAGTGACGCAAAATAGCCGACACGCCGACAGCGACGCACCCGAGTGGACCGAGCCGTGGACACCCTGGCTGGGCCAGAAGGGGTCGGACGAACGGGCCGGGAGGCAGCAAACTCCCCATCGCTCGGACGTCCATTGCCCGTGCATTTTTCGATGTCGTGCGTGCTTTTGTTGCTCGATGACCCGGGATGCTCCTCGATGGTTCTCGACGACAAAAAAAAAAAAAAAACACGACTGAGCGATGCCAAGTAAGGTGGAGACGGTGACGCAATTTGTTTCCAGCTCCTCCCCGCTCCAGGAAGCGCCGTAAGCATCGAGGAAAGGCGCCCCAGCACATACCAGGAGCATTGGGAGTATCGGGGGCATCGGCGGGGCCGAAACAGGCTGCAGCTGCGAGCGGCGTCGCCGTCATTCCTGCCGCTGCTGGCGCCGTGCCGTCTACCACTGCGGCCTGCTGCGCAGCTCCCCGCCACAGGGAGCTGATGCGCTGCTTGCACTGAAGGGGTGGCTGCCATATGCTGCGAGTGATCTTCATGGAGTTGGCGAGGCTGGCGAGGCTGGAGGCGAGGTCGCGCTGTTTTGGCGGCGCGCAGAAAGGGATGGAGAGAGGGGGCAAGGCGTCTTAGAAGGAGGCTGCTTCTTAGAAGGCGCCGGCCTCACATCCATAGATGAGGACCGCGCCTTCCAAGGAGCAGGGGTGCTTCTGAGAAGCCCTCCCCCCTCCCACCGCCCCCCTCTGCGCGTGGCTGACCGTTGGCCCGCATGGCTGCCAAGACGGAAAACGGGATTTGGCTCGCCTGCTGTTGAAGGGCCTGGCGCTGCAGCCGGTGCTGCTGGCGCCCCTGCCACGGGCTGCCGAGCTGGGCGGAAGGCCACCAGACTGGGTTTCGAATTCAAAAGCCAGCTCTCTGAGTTCAGAAACCAGGTTTTTGAATTCGGAAACCAGCTTTTTGAATTCAATAACCATTATCCCATGGGAGCATCTCCGTATGCCTCATTTGGTGCAGCTCCTCTCGCTGCTGCGTCCTCTTCTGTGTCCTCGGGCTCCTCGGAGTGCTGCAACAGCTCCTCTGCTCTCTTCGCTTTCTGGGCAAGCTCCTGCGTGCCGACCTGCGCGCGTTGCAGCGCAGAGATTCATTCCCCTTCGCCCTTCTGGGTGTCGCCGAGCCTCTTGCGGATGCGGTCGTCGTGGTCGGGCTGATGCTTAGTGCGGAACTTGGCGTCCCGAGGGTGCATTACCATGCAGAGCGTGACGGAGCAGTCCAGCTCGAGCTTCTTGGCGCGGTCGGAGAAGTGGCCCAACTCGTGTGCACTGGAAATCTGGCGTTCCAATGCGTCTGCGCTGATCTTAGGCTGTTCACGGTGCGCAGCGGTCCCTGTCGGTGCGCGCGGAGTGGGCGGCCATAGCCGGTGCACTCGTGCTGCTTCTGGAGTGGCAGGCCTCGGAAGCGGAGGCGCAAGCTGTCGAATGCTGCGTGAGTCGATGGAGCACACGCGCGGCCTCCTCCTGGCGGGGATGGAGCGGACCATCACCGCCATGCACTGTGATTGTTCCGCTTTGGCTTGCCCGATGAGGCCTGCTGATGCGAGGGACGCTCTGGAGAGTGATCATCGTGACCGAAGTACCTGTTGAGCGAGTCTGGCTGGAAGGGGGCGAGCAGAATCAGCAACTTGAACTGGAATAAATGTTCGTGCGATGACACTTCTCGCAGCCCCCAAAATGTGGCTGCCGGTCTGCTTGAGCTACTTTGGCGTTCTTGGTCGCCGTCGAGCCGAGGTGCCTGGCAAGCACGTTACCTGCTGCGACGATGCGCACAAATGTCCTGACGATACCTCGCTTCGCTCGCGACCTCCTGTGCCACGCTGGCTCCATGCTGAAGGAAAGCGTGTTGATTGGCACGGCCGTCCAGACGCGTGGCGTGTGTGTGCGTCTGTGTTCTGTGTCGCATGTTGTGTGTTAGGTCTTGTGCACTGTGTTAGGTGGTGTGTGTTGTGTGTTGTGTGTTGTGTGCTGTGTGATGTGTATTGTTTGTTGTGTTTTGTGTTGTGTGTTGTGTGTTTTTTGCTGTGTACTGTGTATTGTGTGTCGCGTGCTGTGTTCTGTGTGCTGTGAATTGTGCGTTGTGTGTTGCGTGTTGTGTGGAGTGTTGTGCGTTGTGTCATGTGTTACGTGTTGTGTGTAATGTGCTGTGTGGTGTGTGCTCTGTTCTGCGTGCTTTCTGCTGTGTGCTGTGCGGTGTGCGCTGTGTGTTGTGTGCTGTGAGCTCTGTGCAATATGCTGTATGCTGTGTGCTGTGTGGTGTGTGTTGTGTGTACTATGTGATGTGTGTTGCGTGGTGTGTGTTGTGTGTTGTGTGCTGTTGTGTGTTGCAAGTTGTGGGCTGTGAGTTGCGTTCTGTGTGTTGTGAATGGTGTGTGTTGTGTTGTGTGTTGTGTGAATTCCGTGGTGTGTTGTGTGTGAAGTGTGTTGTGTGTGCTGTGTGTTGTGTGCTGTGTGTTGTGTGCTGGGTGTATGACGTCGTGTGTCGTGTGTGGTACGTGCTATGTGTTGTGTGTCGTGTGGTGTATTGTGTGTTGTGTGTTACGTGTTGTGTGATGTGTGTTGTGTGCTGTGTTGTGTGCTGTGTGCTGTGTGCTGTGTGTCATGTGTTGTGTGTTGTCGGATGTGTGCTGTGTGGTGTGTGTGTGTGTGTTGTGTGTTGTGTGTTGTGTGTTGTGTCGTGTGGTGTGTGTTGTGTGTTATGTGTTGTGTGCTGTGTGATGCGTGTTGTGTGGTGCGTGTTGTCGTGTGTGTTGTGTTGTGTGATGGATTGAGTGTTGTGTGCTGTGTGTTGTGTTGCGTGGTGTGTGTGCTGTGTGTTGTGTGAATGTTGTGGTGTATGAGTGATGTGCGGTGTGTGCTGTGTGTTGTGTACTGTGCGTTGTGTGTTGTGCGTTGTTCACTGTTCGTTGTGCGCGTTGTGTTGTGTGTTGTGCGTTGTGCGTTACGCGTTGCGCGTTGTGTGCGGTGTGGTGCGTGTGTGTGTTAAGAATGTGTGTTGTGTTATGTGTTGTGTGTTGTGTGCTGTGTGCTGTGGTGTGTGGTGTGTGCTGTGTGATGTGTGTTGTGAGGTATGCGTCGTGCGCTGTGTTGTTGTGTGTTGTGTGTTGTGTGATGTGTGTTGTGTGTTGCGTGTTGTGTGCTGTGTATTGTGTGCTGTGTGTTGTGTGTGAATGAAGGTGTGTGTGTGTGATGTGTGGTACGTGTGCTGTTTGATATGTGGTGTGTGTTGTGCGTTGTTCACTGTTCGTTGTGTGCGTTGTGCGTCGTGCGTTGCGCGTTGCGCGTTGTGTGCTGTGTGGTGTGTGTTATGTGTTGTGCTATGTCTTATGCGTTGTGTGCTGTGTGTTGTGTGTTGCGTGTTGTGTCTTGTATGTTGTGCGTTGTGTGTTGTGTGTCGTGTAGTGTGAGTTGTGTGTTGTGTGTTGTGTTGTGTGTTGTGTGTTGTATGTTGTGTGATGTGTGTTGTGTTTTATGTTGTGTGTTGTGTGGTGTGTGTTGTGTGCTGTGTGCTGTGTTGTATGTTGTGTACTGTGTGGTGTGTGGTGACTGGTGTGTGGTGTGAGGGTTGTGTTTTGTGGTGTGTGGTGTGTGGTGTGTGGTGTGTGATGCGTGATGTGCAGTGTGTAATTGTGTGTTTGGGTCGGCGCGTCTGGTCGCGGTACCGAAAAGCTCGCAACCGCCTGGCGGTTGCACCCAAGCCTGAAACAAGACAGGGACCGAGGAGGAAGTAGGCGGGAGGGAGGAAGGGAGGGAGGGAGGAAGGGGGGGAAGAGGAGGAGAGTGGAAATCCCCCCCCTTACAATTCAACCATATGGAGACTACCGTCCCTCCACCCTTGAAGGTGTCTCCGCGTGCAGCTTCATTGTTCCACACACCACCGGCTTTCAAAAATTGTTTTCTAGGGGTTCTTACCATCCGAGTGTTTTCGGTGTTCAAATTAATGTTCCCGCTACAGCGTGGGCCTCATTTTCGGATCGGCGCGTTGCTCCTGTCGTTTCTCGCCCAAGCACGGGCCACTTTTCTGGATCCCAGTATTGCTTCGCGGTGGTCCCCCCATCATTTCCCATCCTCCGCCTTTCCCTGGTCCTCCTGTTCCTCCCGCTCCTTCCACTCCAGTGCCTGCTGCTGCGGTTTGTCTCGCCACGCCGAACACGAAGCGGTTTTCATCTATGTGCGTCGCGATGTCGGCTACGACACGCGTCCGCGGTTAGAGAATAATCAGCGCCATGGGAAGGGATGGGAGGGAGGAATAGGATGTCAGATGAGGCGCGAGCGCCCCTAGCTTGCCCCATCCCTCCTCCTCCTCCTCCTCCTCCTCCTCCTCCTCCTCCTCCTCTTCCCCACCCTCTACCCCCTCCTCCACCTCCTCCTCCACCTCCTCCGCCCCATCCTCCTCCGCCTCCTCTTCCTCCTCCTTCGCCTCATCCTCCTCTTCTTATTATTAATATGATTAATAATAGTAGTATTGTGATTCGTGTTATTCCTACTATTCTAGTATTAACATTACGACCATTGTCGTTATCATCATCAGTCAGAGTATTATTACTATTGTGATTTACTAAGAGTAGTAGTAGTAGTAGTAGTAGTAGTAGTAGTAGTAGTAGTAGTAGTAGTAGTAGTAGTACTAGTAGTATACTAGTACTAGTACTAGTACTAGTAGTAGTACTAGTATAGTAGTACTAGTAGTACTAGTAGTAGTACTAGTCTAGTACTAGTGCTAGTGCTAGTGCTAGTGCTAGTGCTAGTACTAGTATAGTACTAGTACTAGTACTAGTTACTAGTACTAGTACTAGTACTAGTACTAGTACTAGTACTAGTACTAGTACTGCTAGAAGTAGTAGTAGTAGTAGTAGTAATAGTAGTAGTAGTAGTAGTCGTAGTCGTAGTCGTAGCAGCAGCAGTAGTAGTACTAGTAGGTCGTAGTAGGTAGCAGGTAGTAGGTAGTAGGTAGTAGAAAGTGGAAAATAGAAAGTCGGTAGTAGGTAGTCGGTAGTAGGAGTAGTAGTAGTAGTAGTGGTCGCAGAAGTAGTACTAGTAGCAGTGGTAGCAGTAGTAGTAGTAGTAGTCGTCGTAGTAGTAGTAGTAGTAGTAGTAGTAGTAGTAGTGGTGGTGGTAGTAGTGGTGGTAGTAGTGGTGGTAGTAGTAGTAGTAGTAGTGGTGGCAGAATTACTAGTAGTAGTAGTAGTAGTAGTAGTAGTAGTAGTAGTAGTAGTAGTAGTGGTGGTACTAGTCGTATTCGTAGTAATAGTACCGTCCCCCCTTTAATTCAAACCCGATGCCCTCCCGATACCCTTTAAAGAAAGAGGAAGAGGCACCCGTGTGGTTTTCAGAGGGAGCCGATTGTCAAGAGTCATCTCCCTCCTCGTCCTCCGCATGCTTTTCCTGCTCCTCCTCGTTTTCGGGATCCTCTGTTATCTGCTTCCTCTCATCCTTCCCCGTCGTCCTCACTATCAGTATCCACTTCTTTTTCTTCCTCCACCTCGGGGCCGCAAAACAAAAAAAACAAAAACCATTGAAACAACAACAACAACAACAAAAACAAATGAGAACAAAGACCGAAGGCTGACACACACACACACACACACCAACAAAAAAAAAAACAAAAAAAGACGCATGGGGGCGGGAGTGGGCGAAGTACTGAAATAGTTGTGTTTGTTGGTTTGGTTGTTTTGTTGTTTCAGTTGTGTTTCGTTGTTTTTCAGCCGTCGGTCTTTGAGTTCTTTGGTTTGGGGTTGTTTTTAGTGGTTGTTTGGGTGTTCGCCCCCCACCCCCCAGCTGCGAATGGCAAAGAGTAGGAGGAGGAGGAGGAGGAGGAGGAGGAGGAGGAGGAGGGGGGGTAGGAAGAAGGAGCAGGAGGAGGGGAAACCTGCAAAGGCTTCCTGGCCCGCGTGATGTGCTGGAGAGGGAACCGTGAAGGCTCCTGTAGAGAGGGTTTCTAAAGCTTGGCTCCGCCCTCTAAAGGGGGTTTCCCTCCTAGGGTCTAGAACCGCTTAATCACTATAGAGGGGGGCTCCCATTCCAGAAGGGGGTTTCTACAGGGATCGTTTTCCCAACAGTTCCCCTTCTTCAGAAGGGCTCCCAGAGGGCGCTCCCCATCTAGAGGGGCTGCTCCCCCCTTAAGATACAATCAATTTCCTATAGGATTCCAACGCAATCGATTTCCAAGAACGTTTCTATACAATAAATTTCCAATCGGAGTCCCAGACAATCGGTTTCCAATCGGACTCTTGTACAGTCGACTTCCAATACGACTTCCTACACAAGTGGTTTCATATACGATTTCCTACACAATCGGTTCCCCATCGGTTTCCTCGACATTGGATTTCCAAAAGGAAACCTTGTTTCACAATCAGTTTCCAAAAAGATTCCTACACTAACGATTGCCAGTAGGACCCCAATACATTCGATTCCCAATCGGGCTCCTATACAATCGATTTCCAACACGGTTCTTTTACACTTGGTTTCCGATCGGACTCCTATGCTTCAATGTCCAATCGGGTTCCTATGCAATCGATTATCAAAAACAATCCTAACCAATCAGTTTTCAATAGGACTTTACAGTCGGCTTCCAGTGAGAATTACTACACAATCGGTTTCCAATAGGAGATTCCTTTACAAGCGGTTTCCAATAAGAATTGTTTTGCAATCGGTTTCGAATAGGACTCCTGTACAATCGGTGTCCAATAAGACTCCTACCGAATGGGTTTCCAATCGGATTCCTGTGCAGTCGGCTTCTAATAAGAATTCATGCACAATCCATTTCTCATTGATTTCCTCAACACTGGATTTCAATAAGGAAACCTTTTCAATCGGATTCCAAAAGGATTCCTACACAAACGATTGCCATTCGGACCCCAATAGATTCGATTCCCAATCGGGTTCTTAAACAATCGATTGCCAGTCGGGCTCCTCTACAATACGTTTCCAAGAAGATTCCTACGTTTCGATTTCCAATCGGGTTCCTATACAATCGGCTTCCAAAAAAGATTCCTGTACAACCCGTTTTCAATCGGATTCCTTGACAATCGGTTTCCAAATAGGATCCCTTTTTTACAATTCATTTCCAATGGGATTCCTGGACATTTCGTTTCCAAATATACTTCCTACAACCGGTTCCCAATAGGATTCCTTTTACAATCGGTTTCCGATAAAAATTCCCTCGCAATCGGCTTCCAGTCGGAATTCCTGTACAATCGGTTTCCCATTGGATTCTTTCATAATCGGTTTCTAATAAGATTATATTGCAGTCGGACTCAAAAAAGAATTCCTATACAATCGGTTTCCAAACTAGGAATTCCTTTTTTACAATATGTTGCCGATGGGATTCCTGTACAATCGGTTTCCAATCGGAATTCCTTTATAATCGATTTCCAATGGGATTCCCATACAATCATTTTCCTACTAAGGATTCCTTTACACTTGGTATTCACAAAAATATTCCTGCACAATCGATTTCCAATACGATTTCCTACACAGTCGGTTTCCAAGAATGTTCCTATACAACTGGTTTCCAACAGCATTCCTACACACTCGGTTTCCAATGGGATTCCTATATATTCGGTTTTCAATGGGATTCCTATACAACAAATTACGAAACTGATGTACTACACAGTTGGTTCCCAATATGGTTGTTATGTAATCGGTTTTCAAAAAGATTCCTGCTCAATCGGTTTCCAATAGGCAATCAGTTCCCCATAGGATTCCAATACAATCGATTCCCACTACGATTCCCTGACAATCGGTTTTCAACAGGCATTCCTCTACAATCGGTTCCCACTTGGACTTCATACACAATCGATTTCCCATCAATACGATTCCCGCACAGACAAATTCCCACATGAATTCCTTTGCGATGGGTTTCCAATAAGATTCCTATACAATCATTTTCCAATAGGGATTCTTTACAGCCGGTTTCAAACAGGATTCCTGCACAATCGGTTTCAAATAAGAATTCCATTACAATCGGGTTCCAATAAGCTTCCCTGACAATCGGTTCCCAAAACGATTCCTTCACACTCGGATTCCACTCGGACTCCTGTACAGTGGGTTTTCAATCGGTTTCCTTTACAATCGGTTTCCGACAGGAACTCTTTTCAATTTGGTGTCCAATAGAATTCTCTCGCAATCCGCTTCCAATTGGAATTCCTGAACAATCGGTTTCCATGAGGATTCATTTACAATCGGTTTCCACCAAATGCTCGCCTCGCATTTCCCTCGCGAAAACGAAAGCTGCCCTCTCTCGCAGCGACGTCGGCGAGGGAGAGCATCGGGGTCAAATTAAAGGGGGGGGGGCGTAGTAGTAGTAATAGTAGTAGTGGTATTAGTAGTAGTAGTAATAGTAGTAGTAGTAGTAGTAGTGGAAGTAGAAGTAGAAGCAGTAGTAATAGTAGTTGTAGTAGTAGTAGTAGCAGTAGTAGAAGTATGTAGTACTAACCGTAGTAGTAGTAGTAGTAGTAGTAGTAGTAGTAGTAGTAGTAGTAGTAGTAGTATGTAGTATAATGTACGTAGTATGTAGTATGTAGTATGTAGTATGTAGTCTGTAGTCTGTAGTCTGTAGTCTGTAGTTAGTAGTAGTAGTAGTAGTAGTAGTAGTAGTAGTAGTAGTAGTAGTAGTAGTAGTAATAGTAATAGTAGTAGTAGTCGTCGTAGTAGTAGTAGTATTAGTAGTGTAACAGTAGCAGTAGCAGTAGCAGTAGTAGTAGTAGTAGTAGAAGTACGCCTACTAGTAATAACAGTAATAGTAGTTGTAGTAATAGTAGTGGTAGTAGTAGTAGTGAGTGGTAGTGTAGTAGTAGTTAGTAGTAGTACTAACAATAATAGTAGTAGTCGTAGTAGTAGAAGTAGTAGTAGTAGCGTCGCAGTAGTAGTAGTAGTAGTAGTAGTAGTAGTAGTAGTAGTAGTAGTAGTAGTAGTAGTAGTAATAGTAGTAGTAGTAGTCGTAGTAGTCGTAGTAGTAGTAGTAGTAGAAGTAGTAGAAGTAGTAGAAGTAGTAGTAGTAGTAGTAAGTAGTAGTAGTAGTAGTAGTCGTTCGTGTTCTTCCTCCTCTCATCATCCTCCTCTTCTCCTCCTTCCTCTCCTCCCCCTCCTTCCTCCTCCACCTCCTCCCCCTCCTCCTCCTCCTCCTCCTCCTCCTCCTCCCCCTCCTCCTCCTCCTCCTCCTCCTCCTCCTCCTCCTCCTCCTCCTCCTCCTAGGCGCGAGCGCCCTCCTGCACCCCTCGGCCCCCCCGTCCTCCCTCAGCATCGCGCACCGCGCACCGCCGGCCCGCCGCACGGCTAGGCCCCCCCGCGCTGCGCGGCCGAGCTCTCTCTCTCTCTCTCTGCACCGGTCGGGCGGGCCCCCCGCCGGGCCCCCGGCGCGCTCCGGCGCGCGTCCGCTGAGGCTCGAAGGCCTGGGAGGAATGAGGAGGAGGAGGAGGCATGAAGAGGAGGAGGAGGAGGAATGAAGAGGAGGAGGAGGAGGAGGAGGAGGAGCAATTTGAAAAGGAGGACGAGCATATTACGTCAGGGGCATCGTTAGGGGGGGATCGGCTCAGGGGGGGGATGCATCGGCCCCCAATCGCCCCCTCCTCCTCCCCCAAAAGAAGCATGAACGGGTTGAACAGAAACTTTCTCGGCAGCGGGCGAGGGGGGGAAGCAGCAAGGACAAGGCCTTCTGCGAAGGCGGCTGGACTCCTCAGAAGCGCTCCGGCCTTCTGAGGAGTTCTGTTGTGTCGTCTTCGGGGAAGGCTTGGAAAACTTCTCTGAAGGCCAGGGGACCTTCGGGCCTTCTGAGAAGGCCCGCCCCTTCTCACTCCACCCCAGGCTCGCAGCTGAGTCGGGGAGCAAGAACTGGCGAAAGTTTTCTTACTCGGGGTTTCGACTTGGGGCGGAGGGAGGGGGAGGGGGGTGAGGGGCCTGGCTCTGGACCTCTGCTGAATGTGGCTGTTTGCAACAGTGCGTCCAGGGGAGTCCTTTGGGGGAGACTCCACCTGCTTGAAACAGGCGCCCCCCAAAAAAAAGATCTACTCCATGGGGGGGGGCGGTCGCGAGGGCCCGCGCCGATCGGAAAAGCAACGCATAAGAAAATGATCTCTAGAGGAGCAAGAACTGGTTAAACCCAAATGTTCGGAACTCTGAGCGGATTTCTTGGACCGGCGCTGGGACCCCTGGCGCGCCCCTGGCACGCCAGGGTGGGGGGGGCTCCAGCGCAGATCCAAGAGATCAGCGCGGAGCTCCAAAAGTCGTATGCCTGACCACTCTTTTCTGGGACACCACCTCCCATATTTTCCCATATTTTCCTGGGGGATCGACGATTGATTGTGTCTGTGTGTTCTTCCCTCCTGAAGAGAGAGAGAGAGAGAGAGGGAGGGAGAGGACGTGCGCGCGCGCGCCCTGCCGTCTCCACCTCCTTCCTCGCCCTCCTCTGCTAGAGGCCAGCCGGATGGGGCCCGACCAGGATGGGGTCGGAGGATCGCGCCGCATCGCCCACGCCATCGCCGACGTCGGCGATGCACGGGCGCCGTCGGCGTGGAGCAGGTCGGGCTCCACGTCGAGCCGCACCGGCGATGCGGCGCGATCCTCCAACCATTCGAGTCTGCGTCCGCCTCCGCCTCCGCCGTCCTGGCTGCAACTCTCCCCGCCCCTCTTTCCCGCTTCCGCTGCCACGCACAGTCGGACCTAGGACAGAATAACATCCTTCGAGAACAGGAGACCCTCCGCCGGACAAAGTTAGGAGCATTGGAGGGTACCCCCCCAGGAGGCACAAGAACATCCAACAAGCACGAAGAACATTAGGGCACCCTCCCCGAACCGACCTCAACCTTTTGCCTCGGTCCCACTGTACCCTCGCTTGCTGCGACCGCCACGATGCGAAGCGCGTGGCCGCCAAGGCAAAAAGGGCGCGCGCGCGCTTGGCCGGCGGCCCGGACAGGGCCGGTGGAAGGCCTGGGATTCGGGTGGGCTTGCGGCCAGGGACGGACGTTGAGGACGACGACTTCGGCAACGACGACGACGACGACGACGACGACGACGACGACGGCGGCGACGACGACGACGACGACGACGACGACGACGACGACGACGACGACCACAACTGGGACTACCAGTAAGAGTGGGCGCAGCAGCACGAATTCAGGGAGGTGCGTCCGCGGGATTTGTGCCGCCTCTGAAAGGGCTCCCCCAGGTGGGTAGGAGCGAGGTGTTCGACGGGGGAGTGACGCCGCGAGGTGGCGGCGACTGCGCCGTGACTCCCCGCCTTGTAGAGCCCCCGCTCCTCTTGATAGTGGGTTCTCTCGTACCTGGGCTGGGGCGGTGTCTCACTGCCCTTCTCTCGGGGGCGGCCAAGAGGGGGGCGTCCAAGAGGGGGGGGGCGCAAATCATGGCCGGCGGCATGTGCTATGTCTAATGAAATCCCCCCATTCTTGGCCGACCCCCGTTTCTTAGGCATCCTTCTTCCCCCCCCCCCATCGGCGAGGACCATTACAGGCCTCACCAGTGAGGACCGGCATGAGGCCTCACACCCTCCACAGCTTCCATCACAACCGCCGCGGGGGCAAATCCCCGAGAACCCAGCAACATGCAGCGCCAGGGATGGCGGCCCGTCTTCACATCCCGGCATCACAAGGGGATGCGAAGTCCCTACAGATGGGACGGGGGGGGCACGAGTGGGCATCGTAGCTGGTTCAAAATCAACAAATGCATCATAGCCTCATCATTGACCGTTCTCACGGACATTCATTTCATGCGCGTGCTCTCCCCTCGGAACTCGGAACTCGGAACTCGGAACTCGGAACTCGGAACTCGGAACTCAGAACTCGGCCTGCGCCTTGCACCGCGGGGGTGCTGCAGGGTGGGGCCGAAGCGCCCGGAAAGCACAGGCGTGTGAAACAACAGCATCGCGATGCCACAGGGTGAGAGGGGGAGGGAGAAAAAATGGAAGCTGGCCGGCCGCTCAAGAGACGGAGGGATAGGAGCAGGATTCGAGTCGGAGGGATGGGAGCCGGAGTCATGGGCAAAAGCACGGCTCTCCCCTCGAGTCGTGAACAGAATCACAGCTGCAAGGTTCCCGCCACTCTCGACCTCCAAGGATTCCCTTCCGGGGCTCTGGGACCGTCGCGAAGCGGCGCGGGGGAGACGGGTCCCGAGGGAAGCGGGTCCTGGGCCCCAGGGCCTTCCCCCAGGACGACTCTTCAGGGGGGCCCAGGGACACACAAATGAATACACACAACTCCCAGGGTTCCCCAGATGTTCATATATATATATAGGGTTTTCGTCTTCCCCCCCACTTCCCATATTTTCCGACATTCTCCTCGGGATCGACGATTAATTGTGTCTGTGCGTTTTTTCCCCTCCTGAACGTTGTAATCCTGAACAGCTTCTGACAATCCCAGGGCCCGTGGAGGTCCCGAGGAGTCCGAAAACGGCGAAAAAGCTCAAGACCCGTTTCCCTCCAGACCCGTCTCTCCCATGGCGGAGAAACGACTGGGGATGACAAGCCGGTCCTGAGGAAGGGGTCGAGACCTCCAGGGGTCCACGTTGGAAAAAAATCACGACGTCTGGGGTATGGGATGGCTGCTCCGATCACCCATGTGCTCGACGAGGCTCTCGGGCAAACGAGCGTAATGCCCGTCCCCTGGACCATTCGCTAGTCGTCGTCTCCGACCAGGTCTCCATCGTTGTGTTGTTGTTCAAGTCCCTGCATGTCTTCCCGATCTCGACGTAGGGCCAGGAGGGGGACGCGAACGGGTGGAAGTGTCCCCCGCCCCCAGCTGGACGCTTTAGCTGCACTTTAGGTGCCTGTCCTTTCTATATACCACTTCAACACTGAGGGCTGATGAAGGGTCATGCCACCACTCGGCATCTCATCAGATCTTCTTCAACCTTTGTGCGACCAGGCCTCCAAGGACCTCACCGAATGAACAGCATCGAAAGAGAGTCCCAAATGACTAGGCCCCCCGAGCATACGGAATACGGACCGCCTTCGCCTTCAAGCCCCCGATGCCATAAAACGGGGCACAGGAGATGGACACGCCCGTGCCCCTTGGTAGTAGCGTGGCCGGAATAACTGCATGATGCGTTGGCAGACTGGGTCACATGCCCAGGCCAGTATCATCCGTCGCTTACGTTATTATACGTGGGCGGGTGCGTGAATATGTGGATGTTGGAATGAGTGAGTGAGAGCAGGTGCCTGTGAGTGTTGGTGGGCGAAGGTGGGTGCAGGTGGGTGTGGGTAGGCGTGGGTGGGTGTGGCTTTGGGTGCGGGTAGGTGGTGGGTGGGTAACTGGGTGACTCGGCGGGTGGAAAGGTGGGCGACTGGGTGTGCCAGCGCAGTGGGTGGTGATGGAAATGGACGGTGTCGGGTGGTGGTGGGTTGTTGTGGTAGGTGGTGGGTCGTTGGCGGGTCGAGGGTGGGTGGTACATTGTGCATGTTGCGAGCTGCGTTGTGGTAATTATTCCGACCACGTACTACAGATACGAATGAGGAAAAACAGTGAATGCAGTCATCGTGCGACCTTGCTGTCAGGAACACTGCATACAAAACGGAGGGGCTTTTGTGGCCACGGCGAACCTCGGCCACGAAAAAACCCACAACATACATCTAAGGAACGACCCAAAAATCATAGCCCCTCGTGAGCACATAGTAGCTGTCACTGCATATGAGAAGGGTTTCTCCGACCCCCACAACATACATCTAAGGAACGACCCAAAAATCATAGCCCCTCGTGAGCACATAGTAGCTGTCACTGCATATGAGAAGGGTTTCTCCGACCCCCATCCTCAGCGGCGAGGCATGGGCCCCATTGGCCGATTTACCCCCTAGATGAAAATAGAAACCGCCCCCTTCGGGTTTCCAGGGGTGCATCCCCAACTGGGGTGGTAATTTGGTGGGGCTCTCCAAGGGGATGGGGATGGGGATGGGGATCGGATGAACGACACTGAGCATCGTCCTGTCTGTACACGAAGCATCGCCCGAGAGAGACGCCCTTTTTTCTGTGCGCGCTCGCCGTCAAGGTCCAGTCGCTTCCTCGCCGTGCACGAGCGGCCGGCCGCCATTGGCCACGATGGGGCACCGCAGACTCGGGGGAGGCTCGCCGCAGGGAGGCGCCGGGCCGATGCGCTGGAGCAGGAGGTCGTCGGTGGAGGAGGGGAAGACGCGGAGGAGGAGGAGGACAATCACAGGGCTAAAGAGGGAGGCTAAGAGTTGGCCGGCCCGATCCTAGCCCAAAACCTCGTGCCACATAGCCACCTCGTGGCTCTGTGCCACAGAGCCACCTCGTGGCTCGTGGCTCGCAACGAGATAGGCTCGCAGCGACGGCAGGGATGCACCGTGGCACCGCCATCTCTTCCGTGATAAATCCGCCGACCCACTGGGTGCCTTTCAGGACTCTCCATAAAACCAGAGAAGCACCAGCG